CAAACAAAACAGCAAATCTAGCAAAGAAAATAGTATAGGTCAATAATATGTATTCTTTTCAGGTGCAGAATGCAAATTGAGGTGGAAGCACCTGAGAGGTGGGCTCACAAGATACATAAAGAAGAGACAAGCTTCGAAATCGATCAAACAGTTTTATCTTTGGGATGTGATGCAGTTTGTACTCCCATTCCTGAAATCCAGGACACAGATAGGAAATTTGCCTCCTACTAATCCTGAAGATGACAATGAAGACCCTGCTGACGCGGAGGACGATAATGCTGATTATGAAAATGATATTGTTTGTGAAACATTAAAGGAAGTTTCTGAAACTCCAAGCACAACCGAAAATGGTCCATCACCTCCAAGCTGTGCTACTTCAGTCAGACGAGGAAAGAAAAGAGATGCAAATGATCCTTTGGAAAGAGCAGTAGTTGATTTTATTTCCAAAAAATCCGATGAGGAATCAGGAAATCCTGATTTACAGTTTTTCAAAAGTATTTTACCAGACGTGGCAGGCTTCAGTGCTTCACAGAAAAGACGATTTAAGATTAAAGTATTGCAACTCATAGATGACATAGCTAATGAGAGGTCAGCTTCTCGATCACCTAGTGTCGTCTCTGCATATTCAGGCTCAACAAATTACAACAGTAGGCCGCACCTCGAATCACTCGGCGCTATGGGTGAACCAACAATGAAGATGGAACCTTGGGATCCAGACACCTAATCAAGATTTACTGTATTGTAAAAATCGGTGTTTGTAAACCATGATGCATATGTGAGGATTCCTTTGAGAATAATAAATGTCATTGCAGTAATTCCTGTCTATTGCAAAACACCCACTGCTGTTTTGTGTGTCCCTTTCAGACTTTAGTTGTGAGTTATTGTTTCGATCAAAGTAATATTAATGATAATAGTAAAATTATTATTAATAATAATGATGGTGATAATGATGATAGCAATAGTAGTAACAACACTAATGATAATAATAATGTAATTATCAAGATTACTCCTTGTCTGTTTCAATTCATATTTTTAAATTGCTGGACACAGTATGATTTATTTTACCTCTGAATGATGGGCAGTCGTTCCTCGGCGCTCACAGGTCTTCAGTAATTGACATCCTTCCCCAGATGTCGAAAAGTTTTTTTTTCCGCATTCGGTAAAAATGTTGAAACTTCTCTTCATGCTGCGCAAGTTGTTTTACAACTACATAACCACTGTAAGTTTCTACATTCTTTTCAAGATACGATGTATCCAGAGCCAACACAGCACCAATAAGAGCAATAAGATGAATTAAACTGAGTGAAAGCGGCCTGACACGCACCCGTATTACCTTGGTTTGAAATCACTGTGCCACGTGTCACTACATAACACCTGCCACGTGCGGCGTGCCATTCTGGTTTAAAAGCGGCTCAAGATTCACGTTAGGCATCAAAAAGGAGATTGCAAAAAAGTCGTGTTCAGAACATTCATTCGGATTAGTATGATGATCTTTTTCCATATTTATATATCATAATGTTATTTATTTATAGATTGATGATTATTAATTTACAGTACTGTTTTTCCTGTATTTTACAGTAATATTGATTGATTGATTCTGTTATCAGCAATCAGATCTCTGTCATATTTTTGTCAAATTATTCGTCTTGACTGACTCTTTGCAATACATCAATATAAAATACACATGTTCAAGAACTTATGATAATGATAGTGATGTCTCTCCTCCAACCCCCTCTGCTATCCATTTCCTAAGGTGTGACAGCCGTGTTGAAAGGATGAAAGGCTACCTTTCTGCCAGTCATAAACGACCATGGGCACGGTATTCCCCTGTTTATTGGTCTAGCCTTTAACCGCCATGGGGATCCTGATCGGTGGCCCGTTTCCCCAACTCTAGGCTTACTATTGCCAGTAATGAAGATTTTTGAGGCCCCGTTATCAAATAGCCCTACTGATTCAAATTCTCCTGGTTCCTTGACCCCAGGCTCTCCTCTTATGTGATCCCCCATACAGCCCCTTACTCTGACAACACTCCTCTTTCAGCATAAAAAAAGTAGGCAAAGTTTCCTTCTTCAGCTGCTTCGATCGTTCCCGCCCAGTTACATCCGAATCCCAAGCTTAGGTATTATCAACCCTAACTGACTTCACTGGCAAAACCATTCCTATCCAACCTCATCCCTCCTCAGTACTTGCACCGGAAATGTCTCCATCTCCCTGATAAACTGCCTGTCTACTTCAAGGATTGGTCAGATTATGGAGAAGACTTACTTGCTTGCCTCTTGGACTATGATGCAGTATCAGAATTATACACCATCCCCCTAGAGGCCGTCGTAAGTCCTCCACCAATACTACCAAGATTACATTCCGTAGACATGACCTCTTAAATGTTTACAGTGGCGGAGAGTCCCTCTCTGTCTGACCATATCAACCTCACCCCCGTCAGTTGTTGGCTTCTAGGCCACCCTGCCAAACAATGCCGTTCCACAGCCCGATGCTCACTATG